GTGTTGTCGTCTCCTAAAATATAGGTTGTAAGGGTGAGTTTCACCAACTTTTCAATCTCCACAAACACAATAACATGCATACAGTAATACATCTTAAAATCAACAAATACACTACCACTAAACAATCTTTAATGGTTTTATCAACAATTTACTTTCAAGTATCATAAAAGGATCATCAACACATTAATCTATTAACTTGGCCCAAACGCTACCATCAAAATCCCTTTTTTCATGATGGTCTTACGTCACATGTGGATAATCACCGGTTGGTCAATGCTTTGGACCGATACAATGGTGGGGCATACGATCCCTTGGCTAAAATTATAAATCGCATCAGAATTAGAAGTGGAACGTGAGGCCTATGATTTCTAACACGTCAAATGTGTACACCAAATGTTAGTCAGATTCACCACTTTCCAATTTCCCAAAGTCAGAAAACCTTTTTTCATGTACCCTAGTGTATCTCTGTAATTATCCACACATCCACCTAATGTTTCCTTATACCATAACTCAAAAGTTATTGTTTAATATATAATTCCCCATTCCATAATAATCATTAAACCAATTAAAATAAAACCATACAAACATTTCTAGCATATTAGCACTCAAAAGAAACTAAAACACAAGAAAGGTCACACAAACAAATAGACAGCATAATAGATGTAAATTCATATATTCCAAACAATTTAGATCAACCAAGAAATGTCCCTGGATTACAATATCATCCTAACCAATATGTCGAAGGTCAAAGACCCTCAAACTCAGCTAAACCGCATAATCCAATATTTTAAATAATTAAATTCATACACCACAATTAAATTGTTGGAGTTCATACTCTCACGGTCTTATCAATTTGAAAACTATCCTAGGTTCAAAAGTAAATACTTCATATCACAATCATAAATTTTATATTGTAAAACAATATACATCGTGATTCTTCAAACTAAACAAAGCATAGAAAATTTATAAATCAATCGTTTTATCGATTGATACATATTGTTTCAATTCTTCTATTGGAAATAATTAAAATAAACCTTAATACTTTTTCAAAGGTTATCCATGTTCTATATTCATTTTTAAGGTCAAAATAACTAAATTAAATCATTTTAGAGACCAACTATAGAAAACAAAATAGCAAGTGCACCAAAAGTGCCAAAATTTGATTATAAGTACTAAATTGCTCATAAATTGATTTTTCACAAAATAAATGAGTAAGCATACATTTTCACATTAAGAACATTTTAAACACTAGGAATTGTATTAAAATAGGGTTATCATCTCCAAAAATTACACCATTTTCGTGCTATAAAAAGATTTTACAAAAATCCTCAAAACTTGTTTTAATCATATATTTTGCTAGAAAATTTCGTTTTAAATGATCTTTGAACCAAACACAATGTTTTCATACCCAAGGAATCCATTTTTGACATAAAAAATTAAAAATAACCAGTATATCAATGTAGACCAAACAGGGAAGTCATGATTTTTTTTAGATTTTATTTTCCAAGATCTAAAGAAACTACAACAAACAAGAGTTCAACTGTTGAGATCAACTCCCCTTGTAACACCCCAATTTTCAAAAAGGTTATTATTATTATTATTATTATTACAAGGTATTTGTTCATAATTATTTTAATGATTATAGAGGAATGTTATTTTGTACGTTTTAAATAATTATTATTTTGGACAATTATTTTGTACGTATTAAATAAGTATTTTTATTAGCATTTTTAAATAAATATTTATATGTTTTAAGAGAAGGTTGATTTTATATGATATTTTGTTATTGATATTATATTATTATATTTTGGGGTCAGAAATATATTATTATTATAGAAGAAAAATATTTTATAATACACATGTATTTATTTTATTTAATTATTTTGAGGAAAAAGAGAAGTGGGTTAGAAGAGAAGGAAAACGGGTTGGGTTGACCCAGCCCAATGGATTAATTTTAAGAAAGAAGTCCGGTGGCGTTAACCTTATCTGCCTCATTTGCATTCTAAAGGGTTAGGGAAAAAAAGGAGAAACAAAGAGCTTTAAGGAAGAGTATTCAGGAACGATCTTAGATCACAGCAAGACCATTCATCTTCTACTCATCCAGGTAAGGGGGAAGTGAGAAACCTTACTCTGGGTGTGGGAATGTATGTTGGGTAGTGGGATTGACCTCCAATCTTGTGTTTGTTGTATGATAATGTATGCGGGGTTTCAAAAAATTGTATCTATTTAATCTATTGTTCCTCTTATATGTAATTAATTGTATAAATTGCTTGAATGAATGATTCATTTCAGTTTTAAAATTGTAGTTGTATGATTTGAGATTTTTGTGGGTCCCTACAGAAAACCCTATGAGAAAACGGGCAAAATATGAATGTTTTCTGTTTTGCCTTTTGATTGCTTTGTTGTGTTCCTTAATGTTTGCAAAGTGTAAATATGTGTTTAATTTCACAAATAGATGAGTTTTAATATGGATTAAAGTGCTCTGTGAGATTATAATGTGATAATGGGATATTGTGAATATGATGATGAAATATGATGATGGAATATGAGGATGAAATGTGATGATGAAATGTGATGATGAGATGTGATGATAATAATGTGATATGAGAATGCATAGAGTCTTGATTGACATGCATCATGTGCATAAATATTTTTAAGGGTACGATATGGAATACACCACCAGAGAAGGCCCTCTAGTGTAAAAGCTTTGGGGATTAGTCCTTGGGGATAACTCGGTTTGGAAGTCCCAGTCTCGCCCATTGTGTGCATAGGATGTATCTTGCGCGGCTTAGCTATCCCGACGAGACTCTAGTAGTATGTCCTTCTAGTGAGAGTGCGCAGAGGGTGTGACCCGGCATGTACTCCTAGACTACTCTTCGTGTATTGCTAGCGGCAATATGCCATGTGATATGTTACTAGCGCCACATGCATGATAAAATGTAGTCTGTATCCATACATGTGCATTTTAATGTTATATGAAAAGTTGATATGTCTTGAATGAGTGAAATGTGATATTATTATTAATTTATCTATGTTATATATGTTTTGTTTGTGTTTGACTATCTAGTGTATATTCTTACACTGTGAGTCAGAGTGAGATATTTCTCACTCCCTTTTCTTGTGGTGTTTTTCCTTGACTGTCTTATAGGTGATTATCAGCATGAGGCTGAGGATGTTGGTGATGAAGCTTAGGCTTCTATGTTGGGATTTGCTCTGATAGGACATGTGACATCGGGGCGTAGATAGGATTAGATTAGTATGTTGTTTCTGTTAAATTATTTTGAAAATATTATCCTTATTTCTTTTGTGATTATGTTATTTGTTTAAGTTATGAATGTGGTGCTCTCTATCTGAACATGTTTGGTATTTAAAAAAAATTGAAAGACTGTGTTATTTAAATTTTATTATTTGTATTATGATATGCGGGGTAGAAGGTGTGTCACACCCCTTACCTCAAGGAAGCTTTTCTCAAGATGGAATGAAGAAAATAAGCTTCTACACAATTTCCCCTAAAGAGAACAAGCTTGAAGTAAGTTTAAAGAGAAATAGAAGAAGAAAAATCAAAGGAAGATGAAGTAGAAAGCTCAAAAACTTAGTTGTTTATGTTATATTTGAGTAGAACAAGTAAAAGTGCTCTAGAGAAGAAGGAGGAATGGACAAGATGAAAGGAAACTTTTATTTTCTCCCTCTAGGGAGAAGTGAGAAGGTTTAATTTTAAGTGATAAGATCAAGTCACATCATGAATAGTAATCTTCTCTCTCTCTCTCTCTCTCTTTTCTATAAATTTTAAATCTTTCTCTCTTCTAATTTAAATCTACAAGACTATAAAATAATTAAAAGAAGGAGAGGAGTTAAATTAAAATTAAAATAAATATATATAAAATACTTCCTCCAAATTAATAGTTATAAGTAAATTTTGTTTAGAACTAAATTTTTGTTCTTATTGAAAATATTCTTTCAACCAAAATTAATCTTCCTTATAATAAAGTATTTAAATTCATGTCCTACAACAAATAATTAACAACTTAAAATAATTAAATTTATAAATATATAAAATATAATTTAAATTATACGCATAAACAGAATAAAGAAATTCACGTACCAAATAAAATAGAAATGGTCACTTCTTATCTTGTTTTCTTGTGCAAAGATATGTTCTTGGTACATTTAATACATTTCACTAAGTGGTCACTTCTTATTTGGAATATATTTAGATATAATCTAAAGGACTTTTAAGAACTTCTCTACTAGAAAAAACTTTTTTATTTTTAGTAGTGAACCTCTGAAAAGATTTTCTAAACTTATAATCAAACATACTTCTGATCAATGATGTTGCTTATCAACTTTTGGGTACAAATGGTAAAGAACTGTAACATGTGTTAGTCCAAAACAATTTTTAGATGATTTTACATACCTCAAAACAATTTTTAGATGATTTCACATACTTCAAGAGATCTTCTCCTTTTGTTTATAAAAAGCAAGTCACATCCTTTTATAATCATTCCAAGTACCAAAGAAGAGATTATTTCTTCAATTTGTTAAGGTATACGTTGAAAACAACTAATAGGAATATTAGGTATAATAAATATTGAAATAAAAACATTAAATATTATATTTGGACAAGCTTAAGACTTAGTCAAATATGTTCATTTTATGTGATCTATGTTATCGTCTTATAACTTAGTCTTTTTATGCTGCACAAAAAAACATACATTTGTTATCATATAAAACATATATTTTGAGAAGTTCTAATTTATCTTTTTTATCTAGCAATTTTATTAAAATTCAAGTTTGCAAACAATAGACAATGCATACAATTCAATTCCTAGGTTAGTTAAAACATACAACAATAAGGGAAAGAATAATAACACCAAAAGTTTGTATTGGCTCATATCTCACCAAAAGACTATATTTGGTGTTTAGCTTCTTACCAATAATTTCACTAACTATATATCAACCATTGTTACAAATATTCTTTTTTTTCAAGCACTCACGAGAAAGCAAAACAAGTATTCTTTTTTAGTATAGCCTCTCTAAGCTCTCAACATTATTGATGTAAAACATTATTTAACTTATCGTCATGTTATATCAATGACTAGAACGATATGAAATTTTAACAAATAAAATAGTCAAATCTAATTATTTTTGTCTAAATTAAAATCTTTTTGTACTTATATATAAATTAAACATTTACCCCTTCACTACTTCTTATTTAATTTGGGACTGCAACCGCCATGAGGGGAATTTTTCTTTGCATAGTCAAACCAATTGTTTCAGACATGTCCAATGTGTTATCCCCACTTGGTAATGCCCAATCAAATTGATGGACAAGGTTGGCTAGCACAAGTTCATTCACCATCATAGCAAACATTGTTCCTGGGCACCCCCTTCTCCCTGCTCCAAATGGGATCAATTGGAAGTCATTTCCTTTTACATCTATTGAACTATTTAAGAATCTCTCAGGTTTGAATTCTTCAGGTTGATCCCAATACATAGGATCTCTTGCAATTGCCCAAGCATTTACAATTACTCGTGTGCCAGCTTCAATGTGGTAATCATTCAATTTGATGTCTTCCATGCTTTGTCGTGGGAGTAGTAATGGGACTGGAGGGTGTAATCTTAGAGTTTCTTTAACCACTGCCTTTAAGTATTGCATGTGACCTAAGTCCTCTTCAGTTATGTGCTTTTTGTCACCAGCCACACTCTTACCTTCGTCTTGCAATTTCTTCATTACAATTGGATGTCTTAAGAGTTCTGTCATTGTCCACTCTAAGAGGGTTGATGTAGTGTCTGTGCCTGCTGCAAACATATCCTAAAACAAAAACAAGTGCATGGTCAATGTGTGATGGTGCTATATAGTGAGAACATAACCTTTCTTTCATATGTGAAACCAAGAGTTTTAACATGTGCATACTTAAATGAATCAGGATTCATTAATACAAGATGTCTAAAATTTTATAACTTCTATAATTTTTGTATAATTGAAATTTAACCAATTAAATTATTGAAATTTTGTGATATTATACAAAAGATCACGTGTATTAAATTTCACATTATTTTAAAATTATTTAATAGTTTATTACATTGCTTAATTTAAATTTAATTTACCTGATTTAATGAATATTTAGATTTTCAAAATTAATATACATTTAATGAACAAATATTGATTCATTAAAAATTATGAAAACTATAATTGGTCAATCTTGTTTAATTTTAATTTATAATATACAAAATCATATGCATTTTTTAATTCATTCACATTAATATTATTCTCCTAAAAATAAGCATAGACCTCAAGAGATGAGCTTTTTTTGACCCAGAACGTTAATCCGATGAGTATATGAGTATAAATTATTGTATATAGAACTTTCTGTGTTCATAGTTTTGGCCAATCTGTATTGACATGTTACCAAATTTTTTAATTTATGAAAAAACTCAATTATGTGATATTGACTAAAACTATAAATAATTGACAGTCTCATTTCAATGCTTATTTTCCCTTTCAAAATTACTGAAACCAACAACGAGCCCAATAAATCAACATATAAGCATATGGACATTACTGGATAAATTTGATGGGAGATATTTGTACTTAATAAAGAACCGGGTTCATCCAAAAGGTAAGGCTACTAAATATGAAACTTTAAGTATTTTAACAAAAAAAAATATTTATTTTAATTTATATTAAGTAAAAAAGTTGCATATTTCGATAAAAGGGCTTAATATATAGTTTTCTTGTCTAAAATAAAATGAGTTTTCTCAAAATTTTCTTTTGTTCCCACTAACCATTAAACCGACTCTGATAAGAATAATATATATTATACGGGAGGCTTTTATTTATTTATTTATTTATTTTTTTGAAGGGAAGGAGGCTTTTATTTCTAAACCTCTGTTTTGCAACTTTTTTATTTTTCCTAAAATTAAGTCGTGACATTTGTGGGACTGAAATTTTCTTTACTTAGAATTTCATTAGGAAAAAAAACTGAAGTCCTACTTATCTTACTTATCTTGATAATTAAAAAGGGTTATATGATATTTATTTATCTGTATATCAAGTTTAATATAGTTAAATGTGACAAGATATATTGAAAAAAATTCAAGTCTTATATTAATTTACATATTAAATTTAATAGTATTGAATTAGCTAGGGGTGTGTTAGAGATATATTGTTAAATGTTTGGTCTTCGATATAAAAGAAGTGTGTAACAGTCCAATTTTCATAGAATGTACGAGGGCCTAAAAGTCCAATGAGGGTAATTTAGTAATTTACAGGGGTGTTTTAGTAACCCAGAACGGGTCATTCTAAAATTGGAACGGGTCGTTTCAAGTTACTAAAACGAAGGTGATTTAGTGGCTCGGAACGGGCCTTTCCCAAAATGGAACGGGTCGTTCCAAACTATTAAATTTGCCTATGATTCTTAGTTGGGAACGGACTGTTCCGGATTTTAGAAATGGCCTTTAAACCTTATTAAGAACGGGTCGTTCCAGAGTTGGAACGGGTCGTTCTAAAATATGACCATTGAGAGTTTTTAATGCAAACCCAGAACGGGTCGTTCTGGTTTGAGAACGGTCATTCTGGATATGAATTTTACTCATGATTTAAGGGTCCAGAACGGGCCTTTCTGGATTTGGAACGAGCCGTTCCGGAGACACTTGATGCCTATAAATAGAGCACTCTGACACTCCCAAAAAGCACACTTTTCACTTTTCTCTTCTTTTCTTCTTTGCTCTCTTCTTTTCCTTCTACACTCTCTGAAGACCGAGGGGCACTTAGAGGAGGAGACCAAGGAGATCTTTGTTTTAGTTTCAACTACTATTTATCCAGGTACAAGGGAAGGGGATTATTTGTATGTAGAGTTACATGAGGGAATTGGGTAGAGGAAGAGTCCCTTAAGATTATGAATAATTTTATAATTATTTCTGTTTGAGAAATTGATGATCCCATTAAATTCTGTATGTGTTGAGGATTAGAAATATATATTTAATTTGTAAGAATGACGATCTGGGAGAGAGAATGAAATTGTAGAAAAGTGTCTGTGAGATAGGTTTTGGCATAATTGGGGGTTTTACTATTTGAGTTAAGATTCTATTAAATTGGTTATTCAATTGAGTATTATATTAATTTATGAATGTTATTCTTATATTACTTGATAAAAATTGATGATCTAGATGTGAATTGCTTGAGGGGTGTGTAAACCCTTATTTTGTTGGACTTATCTGTTGTTTATGTGATATGAAATTGTGTATGTGATATGGAATTGTGTATGTGATATGGAATTGTGTATGTGATATGAAATTGAACTATGAGATGAGATGTTGTATGGATATGATTATGATTGTGATTGTGGTTCCTCACACTAATGACCAGGGATGAGATGAACCTTGAATAAGTGATGCTATAAGGACGAGCGTGCCCCTGGCATGGTGTGGGATGAGTGAGGCAATTAACACGCATCACTTATGTCACATATGGCAGCCCTGGCATAGGGTTAATTGCAAGACTTGTGTGGATTGTAATGTGATTGTGGTTCCTCACACTAATGATCAGGGATGAGACGAACCTTGAGTAAGTGATGCTACAAGGACGAGCATGCCCCTGGCATGGTGTGAGATGAGTGAGGCAATTAACCCGTATCACTTGTGTCAGATGTGGCGTGGCCTTGACATAGTGTTAATTGTAAGATTTGTGTGGATTGTAATGTATTTTTTTGATTATGAATTGTGATGTGATGATGAATGATATAGAATGATGATATATCTATAGAAATGCTTGTAAATAACATTTCAAATTATGATGAGATGATGTTGTGGATTTCCTTGTGTGCTTTATATATAAATGTTTTTTTTTTCTCACCGTACAATTTGTGGATGTTTTAGGTGAGGAAGATCCGGCTTTGAGTGGCATCTAGAATGTCAACCGTTGAGTTGTGGGTGTGCTCTGATATTGTGACATTGGGACAGAGAATTCTAGGATAAATTTTTATATGTATTTAGAGTTATACCTTCTCTTTTGAAAGCAATTTATAAACTCTCAAGTTTTACTTTCTAAATTAAATTTTTAATTATTTTGGTTATTTATGAAGGTTTTATATGAACCCTTTTACCAACGTTGAATATTTTATTTTTTAGTTTATTTACAAGATTTATTTATATATGTGTTGGGGTAGTAAGGGTGTCACAAATTGTGTTGGAGATCTCAGATCAACTGTAGACAAAAATATAATAATATATATAAATAAGGAATAATTCTCACCTTATAAATTATATATGAGTCTTAACTTCATGTTGTAAAATTTATTAACAAAATCAAATGTTGAAGTGAGAATCCAAATACTATATGTGCTTTTTATTTCCTCCTAAGCAAATTTTTAGGCAATTAAATTTTGTAGAGGTACACCCCTATGCTACTATGTTAAGTCAGACGAAGTGCATTCACAATTTCCACCAAGGTTTTGAACATGACAAATATAATACATATTGTTATTACTAACATGTGCATTAGTGTTTCAGTCGGATAATAAAAATTTCAAGCAATGAAATATGATCAAGCATAATCTGGCTAGACAAAACATCAGACAATACAAAGGCCAACATCAAGACTAAGGCTGACATCAACATGAAGTGACCAACAGATAGAACTAAATAAACTAGAAGATGAAGTTATAACTCTTATGCCCAGACGAGAAGGGTAGTCTAAATCAGACGAAGTATCTTGTATCCAAACGATGTCAAAAATACTGAAGCACGTCTGAAGTCCATTAATCACATTGAAAGAAATCATACAAGAAACACAAGAGGACATCAACGTGAATACAGAAAGGATAAAAATAAGCAAGCGTGAATTCACAAGTCAAAGCTGAGTACATTAGAGAAAGGACACCTACTTTTCAGAAAAAGACAGTACCGTAGCAGCTAAACTGATGAGGAAAGTAAAAATATACCTAGATCATGATTAAAGTCAGATATTGAAGTAATCAACTACACAGAAAAACTCCACGAATACAAGCAAACATTTAATGCAAGATCAAATGCATTAAATGAAAAGATTTACATGAACGTGAATGAAGTCTCCATCTGCAACGACACAAAGATACGCTCCAACGAAAAAATTGAATTCAAACAACGGACAAATTTATCAAATGAGTATAAGTATCAAGGCCAAGAAGAAGAAGAGATAGAATAGAGAGAAAAAAAACGTGCAATAAAAAAAACAAGGAGCATAAGCTATATTTCTTCTTCAAGTATTTCCTGTATATCTGTGTAAAAACTAAGATAGCTTATCTTAGTAAGTGTTGTTAATAGTCAATCCTCTCTTTGAGAGTAAATAAACACTTAGACACTTATCTCTGTAAAACTAAGGTTACACACCTTAGTGAGTGTAGAAACCACCCTATCCTCTCCATGAGAGTTGCAAACACACTTAACACACTCAATTGCTGTAAAGCCTGAAGAGGCTAGTAAAAAGAATACTTGTGAACCAGAAGTGATTGAGAATACTAGTGCTAGTGAGTGAAGCTAGCGGGTCAGAAGTGGTCAAGAATACTTGGAGAACCAGAAGTGGTTAAGAATACTATCGTCGACAAGAGAGGTTGACGAGCCAGAAGTGGTTGAGAATAATCCTTTGTGATTAGTGGAACCCTTCGGTGGAAGGAGACTGGACGTATCTCAGATTGAGTGAACCAGTATAAAACATTTGTGCATTCTCTTATTTTTCAACATTACTCACTTTGTCTTTCTCCTACCTTGTTTTTCAACAAATCATTAGACAGAAACACACTTGACCTTCTGAAACAACTTTTATTGGACGATAAGCCTTTCAGACAGAAAACCAATTTACTTAACCTGTATCTTTAAGTAGAAGATCAGTTTTTCTAAACAAGAAAAATCTCTAATAGAAAAGTCTGCATAAGTTTTTCTTAAACCAAGTTTGAAACACTCAATTTTAAAATTATTCTTGATAAGCGATTTTTAAAAATCTGCCTTTGAACATGAACATACACATTCAACCCTCCTTCTGTATATATTTCTGCTAACTTCATACTAGTCTAATGTGCTTCTAGCACACAAAAAAAATGAAAAAGAAAAGTTTAACATGTCTGTTATTAAATATATAATGCATATTTTATATAATAACACATTCAAAGTTAGATTTAACTTTATATGATATAACTTTATATGTTACACTAAAAAAGTATTTAACTGTGTCAAAAAATTATTTAACTTATTTTTTTTTATAATAATGTTTTAATTTATAATTAATAATTAAATAATATTATATATATATATATTAATTATTACTTATTCAATTTCATTATGGTTACCTTATTTTTGAAAATAGTTATTTAGTCCGTTAACTATTAAATTTTTTAATATTATCCTTTTGAAAAATATTTAACTAATTATTTTTATAATAAAGCATTAATTTATTATCAACACATTATATAATATTAAAAATATATACATATAAATTAATTATTACTTATTCAATTTGACTATAGTTAAATTACAATTAGATCAATCAACTATATATTTCCATAGTCGTATTCTTTTCTTTTCACATTTCTCTCTTCCTTTCTTATAACATCGCATTTTATATCACTTTATCGATCTTTATGCATTTTTAATTTTTATTATCACTTCTCTTTTTATACCAGCCAACAACCCCTAAATGAGATAATCCTAACTTGAACCAATGACAATGAGAGTGTATAAACGACAAAGAAAGTATACTATATTGGACTCGGCCATAAGTGGATGAATTTATTGAAAGATGTTTATATGCGCAATAAGGACAATAATATTAGCTACCGACTTTTCATGTGGAATCCTCGAGGCTTTCTTTTCACAACCATATAAAACAATTTCTTTTATTTTTTTATTATTATACAATATTTTCTTTAGCACTAAAAGCCAAGCCTTACAATATTCCACTATCACACTTGGGCAATGCAACTAACAATCCCCCACTTTCCCTTTTTGATTTTTACATCACTCCCACTCCCGATCTTAATCTTTTATTTTCTATCTTTCTTTTTATTTACGCTTTTAATATGTTTTATATATAAGTCAGGATTTATTACTATGTCTAAAAATTTATATCAAATTTTATATTTTTAATATTTTTTTAATAAACTAATGATTAAATTATGTTACAATCAGTCAATCTAATCATGTATATCAAATTTTACAAAATTTTAAAATTATATTTTAATTTATTGTATTATTTTATTTTAACATATAATATAATATTTAAAATATGTATAAATATCTATTATTAAATAATATATTTAAAAAAATTAAATCACATAAAATTTGATAAATAAGATCATGAATATAATATCACATAATTTAAATTTTAGATTAATTAAATTTATATTATATAAAAACCTATCGAATACATAAGATTTTAGGTAAATTTTTAACCTTACACTTGATATTGATATTAATAAATATGACTATATATTAAAATAATGATTTTACAAGAAGAAGAATTACGAAAATAAACTAAATTTTGAGGACAAAGCTGTATGTATATAATTCTCACGAAAGAGAGAGAAAAATAGTATAACATTAAAAAAGTATTATGACAAAGAGAAATTATATATATATATATATGTATGTATGTATGTATGTATGTATGTATGTATGTATGTATGTATGTATGTATGTATGTATGTATGTATGAA